GGGAAACGAAAACTTTAAAATATGTAAAAAATCTCGATCTTCAGGATTGCTTAGCGGCACGCAGCTTTTGAAGTCGTTCAATTGCTTTATCAAGCGAACTAGTCCTGCTGCTGCTAGAGCTTTTGATCAGATTGTTGGCTGAGTTCGATGTTACCATGGTTGGTGCACTATGACTTACAGCCGATGATTTCGAGTCTAACCTTATCAACTCAGCAAGATCCTGAAAATAACAAGAATAAAAAGAAGTTTGCACAAAAATACACAATACACTAAAATTTTGGTCATAGGTTAGACAGATACTGGTCAATAACACCCAAGCTTAGGTATTCGAAGATGGCTGAGGCGGCTACTAAATCACCACTGACCACCAAGCTTAGCTGGACAAAATATGACAAAATATTTTCTCGATGTACTTTAGCTGTGGGGTTTTTGCTTGCCCAGTGCTCAAACGGACAGAATCGTTGGCTGGTAGCTTTTTCAGGGACGAAACGAATGTCCAGAACGCCAAAAAACTGACCACTAGAGGACGCAGTACTGGTCAAAGAAGGTGGAAAAGTTTCCAGCTGCATAGCTGGAGAACAAGCCCATGAATTTTTTGGCAAGTCCAACTACTGCAGATAAAAAACGAGTTTAGAATAAATTCATTTTGAACAGCAGGCGCTCAAAAAGTTTGCTTTCTCTATTTCACAAAAATGAGAAACTGAAAATGTAAAACTTTGATAAGTGTAACAAAAGGGAGGAGTTCATTTTTTTTTGGGACAAACACCGCAACTTAATGAGGTGAATGGGTCTAAATTTTGGAGCATCATGAAAAAACGAGCAAAAGAAGTTAAGATAAAATTGGAGAAATATTAGCAACCTGCTGCCATCGATCATCCTTGCTTCTTTCTTTCGTAGCACTGCGTTTTTGACCGTTACTCTCACCGTTCAAGTTAGCTTTTGCCCTCAAATTTGCCTAGAAATCAAGCAAAAAGTATGCATCCGGAACCTGCATACAATTTACACATTTACTGCTCTACCAATCACACTATCAGTGTGGGTATCCCCTGTTAGTGATACTACTGAGATGCTAAACATATGCCGAGTGCAATTATGCCAGGCCGTTCGATCCTGAGCTGCATACCTTCATTTATTGCTATAATTTTAGAAAAAAATGACTTACTTTCTGTCGAGTTCGATAGTTATGAAACCAATTACTGACAGTCCTAGTACTCAGTAATAGGTTCCGTGAAAGCTGTTCAATTGTTGCTGGTGAAGGATGCTGATCACGATCAAAAACAAGCTTCAGCGTCAGTTTCTGCTGATCCGTTATAATTGTTCGCTACAACAATACTTTGAAAGTGCTTTAACTGCAACTTGTCTTACTAGAGATCATATGGTCGTCTTTTAATGTGACTCATTCGGGATTCCTTTAAATTAAAAATCCCGTACTGTTGAACTCCCCTTCCTCCTCCCCGCCCTTTTTTTCTTCGAAAAAAAAAGGGCGAAGAAAAAATATTAGGACCACCAGCAAGCAGCTTATCTACATGCTACCAACGAGGCTATCAATCTTTCTATTACTACCTTGAAAGCTACGATGAAACGACATTTAATCAAAATAAGCTACGTCACTTTCTTCAGTTTTTAGTAAGCCTCAATTTCGACTCACAGGCATACGCCAGTATCAATTTACCATCGAAAAACGAATGAACGAATAGCAGAGGGACTAGTTGTCCCACGTTGATCTAAACTGCTTCGGAAAAAGTCGAAACTAACTTGTGCTTTTTTTGGTGCTTCTCCAGGATTAACTGCAGCACTGGGTGG